TCCCCTGCGGCAGTGAGGAAGTCCACGTATCCCCGTAATTGGTGTTCGTTTCTCTCACGTTGTGACTGCAGAACGCAGACACAAAGGCTGTAATTCGTCCGCTGCTGCTAAAAGCTGTCGATAGATGTTGATAGGGACCAATTAGCAGACTATTCTTCTTTTTGCTCATCAAAGACGGATTTTGCGATGAAAAGGCAGCTCATTGGAAATTAGGTTGAAGATGTCCACTGATGCACGGAAGAAGAAAAACCGAGAAAAAAGGGGGCGTAGCGCCAAGAACAGGACCCCTTACGTTGTTTGCGCACTTGGATGCCGACTCTAGCCCTCAGCGCTAACTCTCTCTTGCTGAACGGCTAAGAAGACGACGCTGAGACGTTCGGCGGAGGGGTGGGGCGTGGGTACGGACAACGGCGAGCCAATTACGCCACGGGGGAGGCCATACTAGATCGGCGGGGACATGTCCTTCAATGCGAATAACGTGCTGGTCCGCACCCTTTGGAGGTCCGCCTATCACTCCACAGGTAAGTTTCCCTCTCCTTCGCCCTTCGCCTTATCGTGGTCTTCCTTAATTTCATTTTTTTTTCTTTTCATACTTCTACCACCTTGATTTAGCGGAAAAAAGCAGTATCTTTTATTTCATGAATGTAAGATATTCAGAAAAAATGCCGTGTAAACTTATTAAGCTACTTTAGTAAGCTTACAAGACACTGTAAAGCAGCGAGACTTGAGTCATCAGCAGCATGACATAAGCGACCCCTGATGTGGTTGATAATATCAACATTACAGTTATTTTTAGTGTCAACATCGCTCTCAAAGTGCGCCGAGAAATCCCCGTGATCCACGCACGAACAGCTGCCATCGAAGAATGCAAAAACATGCACGACTTCATAAAATGCCTCCTGCACTACAACATAGCCAGCGCAGCCGAACGCTTGAAAATCAGTCACCAAGGGAAGCTGGCCGCACAAATAAAATGATAATAAATCAACTAATAAACGAAAATCACCTTTCCATACTTCATGAGGGGCCTCATGAGGGGCCAAATCTGGGAAACAAAAAGGGGTTAAAAAGTTTTTAGCTTCGGTTAAATGTGGGTTTTTTAGAGTCAAGCCTCCATCGGGAAACTCTCCAGAGGGAAGCCGTATTTTCTGAAAGTAGAGCTGGGAAGACACATGAAAGAATCAAAATGTTTGGAGAAATCCAGAAAAACTCTATTTTTTGCCGTGTCTGCGGTTATTTTCCCCCGTCCGCCTATCCTCCTCGGCCAGTTGCAGATCTTATCAATGATTGTCAAGAATTATTTGGAAAGGGGCGCTCATATTGAGGGCTTTACAGGTGGGCCGTTGAGGAAAGTCCGACCAACAAGATGTTCGCAATGGAGCGCGGTTGACCCTGATGTCATCCGGAACCATAGGAATATATGTTTCGTTTAGCAACTTACTTTATATGGCTTCCCTGCCTCCCCAATTCCGATAAATTAAATACACAGGTGTTCATAATAATTGCAACAAATTTCGCGTCATTTTTTTGTTGGCCACTGTTTTATGACTGGTAATATCAGCACTTCCGCGCCATATGTCCTATGAATAGCTTGTGAAATGCCATGGCCTCTACGCGGGATCTTTCCAAAGTAGGGTAGTTCCGACCCTATAGAACTCCTCACCTACCAGACAAGCAGGACATCCTCAACATCATATCATTTCACGCCTCTTGAACTTGGCGCCCACGAATCTGCTGTGATAGAGAGGGAGCAGGGCGAGGCGTGTTCCTGCCCCATCCGTAAATCTAGCTCTTCATTATCCAGGGAAAAGACTGTGATAGCAAAGGGATGTCGACCACAATTTGTGGAAGCAGGTGAAGCTTCCTGAGAGTTGCGATTTCTTAGCAATGGGACTATGTGGAAAATGCCTCCAAACACACGTGCACTCTAGAGATAAGCTACTTAGCCCTTTTCAGCACCGAATTTTTTACGCGGAAAAAATATTTCTTGCTATTGTTTATTACTTGAGACACATCAATAACACTGCAAGGATATTTTATAAGGTTTTCGACCACAAACTGAGAGCCCAGGAAGCTTAGAAAATTGACACAGCTTCTCAAACTTTTAGCTCACGTTGAAGAAACTACAAATTTTTTAGATATGCTAAGAAGTTTATGATCTGGCAACATTCACTACCAGCGTTTTGATGTAAAGGATAATGTGTCAAGTTTTTAGAAATTTTTGATAGCGTACCCAAGCCTTGCTGAGAAGGTCGTGCGATTTAGTGTTGCCACTTGTACACAAATAGTTGAAAATATGGGCGGCAGCAATCAGAAGGAACAATTAGGAAGGGGAAGGTTGTCTGAAGTCATCTCTTGCAGGGGGTAGTAGAAACATACTGTTGCACCGGTAATGCAGACCTTCAAATTTGATGATGGGCACCGCTAGGGCCGAAATGGTTAAGAAACATTGCTCAACTGAAGCAACAGAGCCTAACAGAACGCAAAGTGTAGAGCCCTCCTAAATCGAGGCCGCCGAAGGACGATCAACTGAGGACCATGTTTCGGACGCCGAACTATTTTCACCCGTGCGGAGAAGGCTACACCCGTTAAACTCCGCGGTTACTCGCCTGAGCTCCTATGGAAGGCGGCAAAATAAGAATGATTGCTCAATTCCGTCTCACTCCAAGAGCAATTTATGAACTCGTATTCGAAATTTTGACGGCCGGAATTCCAGGGACTTCGGAAATCGAAAAACTGCGGCATTAACTCAAGGGATAGACACGAAGGAAAATAATAGGAGTGACCAAGTATAGAACATTCGCCCCACGAAAAGATACTCGCTGAAAAAAGGGAATACCTCAAGGGGGGTCCTAATGGAGAAACTGTCAACATCCAGTTTTTCGGATGACGTCGGTTTGATTCAGCTTGCAGACGGAAAAAACAATCAGAAGTAGAGATGTTCTCTTTTGAAACCATGGACTACGCCCTGGGAGACGCGGAAACGAGGAAATAGTTCTACGTAAACATTGGAGATAAATCGCAGAGGTCTATTGTGTTTTCCAAAAATTATGTCTAGCCGTTGATTAATTATCTCCTCGCCTCCATCTTACTCCCCTGCCCCACACTGCAGTCTTGCTGCGCTCTTGTGTGAATATCACTGCAAGAAGGGGACGACAAAATCGACCAAGATATTTCGTTACCCTAAAATCCCATAGATAAGAGCGGTCCATAGATATTTTTTCAAAAATAAAATAAAAATAAAAATATTTTTTCAAAATCATTTTTTACCGGTAAATTAAACCGCTCTTATCTATGGAATTTTACTGATCGAATGGGCTCTTCAAGTTCTATCCAGAGATCAAATTCCGGCATTTCTAGAGAGATTCCGGCAGAAATTCCGTTAAAATCGCTATTTTTCTATATGAATTGTTTATTAAGTGGGCGGGGTTTAGAGTTGAGGGGCGGAGCTTCTTCTAAACTTCTTCTCCGATTTTTATTTATCCATCCATCAAGTTAGAGGGGTGACTGCATTCAATTTCAATTTCATTCCAATTCATTTTTCACCGGTAAATTAAACCGCTCTTATCTATGGGATTTTAGGGTATTTAATTGTTGGGCCTTCTCACAAGGGAGCAGGTAGTGCTACAAATGCTGTCGCCTAGATAGATTTCAATTCTAGCAGGGGAACGAGGCTACGGAGATGGGTGAACCATTCCGCTTCCTTTCACACTTACTACGAAGCTTTCGAAAACTTGATCACCATAGGCGTATGAACTGCCCTCTAAACGTTCCTCCCCCCCTCCCTTATTTCATACCTCAGCGCGCCGCTAACGGCCTTAACGTTACTCTGAAGGTTTTCTGTGAGGCAAAATAATATGGTGGGACACCGTTATTTATCCTAACGAGCAAGCGCGGTTAATACACGGTAAACACCACCATGACCTCAAAAATGAGAGGACTCACGAAACTGTTCTGCTACCGAACGGTTATTGGAAGCGCTAAGATCATAGACAGGCGTGTACAACATTATCTGCTGAGGAATATTTAGAGATGGATGAAGCACCGATTAGTAATCGCGGAAGGCAACCCGAACCGAAAGTTAGAGACCTCGAAAGTCTCTACTCCAATGGTCCTGAACTCGAGAGCTATCTTAATCCTGAGTCGTCCGCACATTTCAACAACAAATACCGTTAAAAGAAAAGAAAAATCAAGTAAATGTGGTAAAGCCGAAGATGGCGACGTGTCACCGCGTTATGGTACCTTAGGCGTAAAGTTGTCCCCTTATACTAGTTTGCGTAATAACTTCGTATAGCATACATTATACGAAGAGTGGTGAAGCTAAGCGATCAAAAATTAGCCTAAGATCATACTCCAAAAAGCAAAAGAAGGACGCCAGGCATTGTAAGCGTACCCTTTCCAAGCCTGCAGCGCCGTTCCCAGTCCTACGGGTGTGGTTCGCCAGGACAAAAAGCGAGGTTTCTGTTTTTCGCAGTTCGCAGCGCGAAACATTTTTCGCTGCGGGAACCTCAGGTCCACCATGATCAGTGTGGACCTGGGTTCCTCGCAGCGAAAAAAGTTTCGCGCTGCGAAACGCGAAAAAGTCGCCTTCTGTCCTAGCGAACCAAACCCTTATCCTACACCTGACGATGCCCAAGCATTTAGAGGCATAAGACTCCATTTCCTTGTTGAAATTCTCCTTCTCAAAGTTGCTCTATTTATCCCCTTAATTGCCTTTTCCATGGGTTGTTTTATTGCCTACCTGAGCAACTTGATTGAGACATGAGAACACACTTTTCCTAACTTCTTCATGAGACGATCACTGGCTTCCGAATTTAATGACCATTTCCTTTATCATTTTTATTTTATAACAATTGTCAAAATGAGTGCGTGGCAGAAAATTTTGCACTGATCGCACACAGAAAACGAGAAGGGCCTAGGGGATAAAAGCAAGATCATTCGGAGGATGTTTCCTAGTTCGAATGAAAAAGGCAGAGGACTGGCTAGGAAAAAAACAACTACTAATTAAAAATTATGTACAAAAGCAAAACGACGAACCGTTCCCTTTCTTTGCGAATATTCTCCCGAATTTGCTTTCGACGAACTTCCAGAGGATCTTCAGACTCTCCAGTTGCCACCACCGGCTCTTCCACCACCGGAATCGGAGGAATTCGTTCGACATCATTCACAACTGCAGTCAAAGCCGCAGTAATTTCTTGATTCTGAAACAGAATGCGGTATGGAAAAAATTTCCGCTTTCCCTTTCAATGTTGGAATTTTTCAAAATGAATAAATACTTTATCTCGAAAAATTTAAATCGCCAAAAATAAAAAAATTTTATTCACTATTTATTAAGGCATTTTTTTCGTAAGGTCTCCTCTTTCCGAGAGTTTTTGGAAGTTTGGTGCCTCCTTAGGTGGACATTTTATTTATCTATTTATTATTTATTCCTGGCACCACACTTTCAAAAACTCAGAAAAACGAGACCTTTTTAAAAAATGCTATAATAATAATAATAAATATTAAATATCAAAATGTCAAATGATAACAAAAAAATGATTATGCTTAGCACCCACGTGTTTCTCTTCTTCAGCACCAACTTGAATACCAGCCTTCAGTGCTGCTTTTCGTAATTCTTCCGCTTCCCTTTGCTTTTTCACGATCTCTGCTCGATTTGCCGACACTGAAACACAACATCCTTCTACTACGAAAACAAAGAAAAAATGAAAAAAAAAGGGAAAAAATAAAAAAGGAAAACAAAGAGCCTAAAAAAAAAAAAACTGGGAAAAATAAAAAGATAAAGATTAAGATTCAGAAAAATGCATCTTCAAATAAATTCATCAGTTGATAGATAGATAATTTAGCCGTAAACTTGAAGTACGCGAACAATTCTAGCAAAACATGAATCACCTGCACCACACGTCCCCATGTTTACCATGGGGTAACCCAGGAGGTTACCAGTAATGTAATCGTTGGTAGTTGCCGTAGGCCAGAGTAGCATGGCAGGTACAGCTCGTTCAAGGAATACCAATGGCATCGTTGCTGACGTTCAGGGCTTCTGTGAAGAAGTGGGCTCCCAGATGCGCAATCTCTTGATCGTTTGATGATCAAAGGATCTCCTCGATAACGGATCTGGTCCAAGTACTCCACAAAGTCCCATGACGAATCCGGCCCACATGATCCTTGGCACTTTATCATCTGCTGCAGCTGCCCTGATCTCCGATTAGCAACAATGATTAAGCTTCCAACCTCCTTCCCTCGATTTTCTTTGAGTGTAAAAACTATCCGAAATTATCAAAAGAAAGCTGGGCTTTGGGCAGAAGTTTTCGCTCCAGGCAGAAATAGAACCCGCATTTCTCGCTTTCCGGGCAGTTTGCTACCGATTAAGACCACCGGCGCAACGCATCCCCTAAGTCCAGCTTTTGATGGTCCATTTACATAGCCTATAAGCACTCACACGTATACTCTCGCTCCGAAAACCAAGTGCTCGTCGAGTGCAGACCACACAACACAAACGACGACCCCCTCCACAAAATGTAAATGTTTTCTGCCAATGAAATGATTAGCCTGTTGCAGTTGTATTCTATTCACTAATTACAACTATCATTTACCAACTATCAGCTATCACTATGAACCACTAGAACCAGATTTACTTGGAGGCCGTCGTCACTTGTGGTGTGTGGTCTGCACTCGACGCGCATCTGGTTCCTCGGAAGCAGATGGTACAACGTTATGAGACGTTCAGGCCCAATCAGCAATGAACCGCAAGGCTGGAAAGTCTGGCAGATACAGATTTTCAGAGATTTTGTGATCGCCAAAATACAGCCCATGTAAATATCAAAAAAAGTCAGGCGAAGGCCAAACTGGGGCTATCTGCCAACAAGGCTTTCCGAGCCGCAGTACAGACAAGCCAGTCCTATCGGCCAACTCCCACATGGGAGGAAACGACCGAGTAGATTCGCTTTATCGTACGCACTGCCTTTAGGGGAATGAGTAGAGGTGCTAAAGGTAAGAAAGCTACAAATACCTAACAAGTTGTGAGTAATAAGGGCACAGTACATATGAGGAGAGTGGACTGTCGAAAAGTAGGCTACTTAATCGTAATAAGGTCTAGACTCCAACGAAAGCTGTATGTGACAAGTGGCAAAGTTTTCCACTCCCATATTCGCGCGTCAAATGCCGAATGATCGAATTTCATCAGTGCCAACCAAACTTTCCATTCCTTTTATCAGCTAATCCCTGTCCGATTTCTAAAAA